GGGGGGGACGGGGCAAGGGCGGCTCCTGCTGCTGCGTACACGCCTGGGCAGGCATGGGGGGCATGTGCCCCTCCAGATCTGTGCATGGGGTGAGGGCGGACTGCCATTGCGTGCTTTTCCTCAGGCACCAAATATCGTTGCTAGGGCACTGAACATTGCAGTCAGGCTTCTGAGTCCCCATCGTGTTGCAAATTCTTCAAGAGGGAGGGCTGGGGTTGTTTTTTTGTTTTATTCACTCATTCCCCTTTGGTGCCAGTGTCCACTTCTTGTTACACTTGTTCATTAATAGCACGCTTGTGGCTTGTTTTTATGTCCAGGGCGACAGTGGAGGCCCTTTAGTAACAGCGAAGAACTCTGTGTGGTGGCTAGTTGGTGACACAAGCTGGGGAACTGGCTGTGCCACTCGCAATAGACCTGGAGTTTATGGAAATATGACCATGTTTACAACTTGGATTTACAGAAACATGCAGGTAAAGTGCTCTGCGTGGATATAATGCCCTTTATTGAGCTTAATCATTTAAAGTATCAAAAGAAACGCTGCATTTTTTAAAGTTCTTTAGTTCTAACTGGCTTTATGATTTCAAATAAGAGAGATGCTGTTTAATTGAAGTTATAGTGGATTTTTTCTCTTCTTTTTTGTTGCTGTTGGAGAGTAAATACACATGATACTAACCACATTTCCTCCCCCCCCCCCCCATTTTCTTTTAAACAGGGAAACAGATGATGGTATCTTCCGTTCTTGCTGAACCGTGCTTTCAGGAACAATCCTAAGTGATGTTTGGCTACCTTGAATGTCTAACTACTGTATTTACTTTTTGCGAGTGATTTTTTTTTTTCTTTTCCTTCCCCTGTACCCCTCGTCTAGTCCTTACTTTTTTACTTTGAAAGTAATACAAGTTTGCACCCTCAGTTCTGTGCTGGTTACAGTGACTGACTGGTTTAGTCTGTGAAGTAAAAATCTCGCAACAAGCACCTTCTGCCTTTGACACAGGATCCGACAAAATGTTGCTCTGGCAGTTGCTCCCTGAAATGTTCCTCGTTTTCTGGCATCTGGGCTAGAAAATCATTCATTTTTATAATCACAAATGTAATCACGTTGTAACTTCACTTTTATTTAAAAAAAAATTGGAATTTAAAGCAAGCGTCAAGCCACCTGGCTTATAAGACGTTTAATATAAATATGATGTGAATGTGAATCTTTGGGCTGCTGGCTGGCTAGAGATTTGAAATGATGAATGCCCCTTGTAGGGTGTAAGAGAAACTATTTCACACACTGGAGAGTAGAGGCACAGAAAAATGTCTTAATACTGTGTTCAGGTAGCTGAAAATCCTCAGGACTTTGATGGATGATGCACTCAGCTGGGCTGATCTTGCTTTGGATCAGCCTCGCTCAGTAATGTGTCCCTGTCCTTCACTCCTGCCCAATGTTGTGTTATTCCTGTTGTGGTTTTTGCTTGACATACAAGAGAAATATTTAAAGTAGCCTTTAAAAGCCAGGCTGCCTACATAAGTTGCTGGGAACAGTTCTTCTGACTTGTAGCAGGACACAGTGTACTGAGTAGTGTATTCTGGTTTATGTACTGGAAGCCACTAACAGATTGACCCTTGAGAACTCTGTCCTTTTGAGAGAGGCAAAGAACAAAGCTTTGCTTTGAGGCTGTATTGCATGCAGTGGATCATAACGATAACAAATGTTGATGCAGAAAGCTGGTAAAATGTGGAAATCAGAGATATGAGAAAATGCTGTTCCCAAGTTTACACGTGACTACCTCAGTGTTAAAATAATCTGGCTTTTATTCTCTTATACAGACTTGTAAAGAACTTTCTGTATATTTTAGCAGGAGACCAATAACCTAATGGTATTTAAAAAAAAAAAATATTTATATATTACAGGAGTAGGAAATGCTGTAGCTATAAATGTGACATGGCTGCAGTCATCAGAAGTACTGAAATTCAGTATGCTGTTTCAATCTGCTCTCCACTTCTAGTGGACAAAAATGAGCCTGCTTGCTCCTGTTGAACTGTACCTTGTAATTGCACACATTTTAGAGACAGTCTGTTGAATCAGAGTGCCACCTGATGAGGCAATCTTTTTAAAATTCTATAACTTATCGGAAGGAAAAGCCATAATTAATTACTTTCTCTAGAAATGAAATGAAGTGGAATGACTTTTTTTACAATGACAAGTAATCTTGGTACAAATTTGTTTTGCACATAAGTAATATAACTAATAAATGATTATTTACAAATTTTACATTGTAGACCTTTTACTTCCATCTTTTGTAATGCTTGTTTATTCTTCCTGGTTCTATTTAGGCATTTATCTGATAAAGCACAGGATGGGGGTGAAGAGGGTCATGTGGAACCTTTGTTTTTGACTTAAATTTTCTGTTGGTGCTTAAACTCAGTTGTGGCCTGACTTCTGGTAGGGGGCGCATACTTTCTTTCACTGGTTTGCTTTGTCCCACCCTACACACATTTGATTTGAATTAATTTTGGATCTCTTTATTCTCACCTTGTTATAAGAGATCCATTCTGTTCTATTCATGGTTGGTTTGAGGAAGTGTTCACCTTATTTAAGACTTTCATTCAAAAATATTGTTATAGTTTTTAACTAAAACATTCCCAGGAGTCCAGAAGTGGTTGTCAAGCTTTTATTTATTTTTTAAACAAGACAGAATTATGGTAACTCAGTGGGTACAGAGTAACACTTTTTTAATTTAAATAAAAGTTTAAATTTCCAATAGCAAATGGGTAGGGAAGCATCTATGCCATCCTCCCTGAGCCAACACTAAACTTGAGGAAGAGGTAGGACAGTTCAGTGAATACCTGTTTCTTTTTAAAACGGGTACTGCTCACAGCAGTGAGAATTATGCCACATAGGCTTTTCTATCTCCACTCAGCATGGCCCACTGGCCCCTCATCAGATGCTTTCAGCATTGTCACTGCCACTTCATATGTAGGTTCAAGCCAGAGACTTGAAATCTCTGCATCCTAATATCCTTCATTTAAAAACACCAGTGCTGTAATTATACTTCTTGAAACTGATGGTATATGAATCATTCCCTACACTTAACAACTGTTTTCCCTGGGCCAGATGACAATCTCTCACACACCTGCAGTCACTCTGCCTAATATCTAACAAAGCTTGTTATCCAGGAGTATTGTCCTTGTTTGATATTTTAACATATAAGCAAAACAAAACAAAAAAACCCCCATCCCCTGCAAAATACAATTGAACAAATTCCAGAAAAGCATCAGATAAATGTAACCTGCTTCCATGATTGAGGGACAGGATGGGATTTGAAAGGTTTCTGCTCACCTCCCAGTGCAAGGCTGTCAAGGTATATTACAGATTGCCTTTATTCATTGATTTAGCCAAGTGGGACCCCCTGCTTAACTTCATGGCAGGTCTTTGGATGTAATGCTGTTTTTCTGAAAGCTATATCCTGCTCACCTCCAAAGTGTCAGGGAGTATTTTAGGCATCAAAAGAAACTCCTATTAATTTCAGGGGAAATAAGGTGGCGCACAGCTACTGCTACTTGCTTGTAGCAGGCATTTAACCAGTTCTATGGTGTGTACATAGATAGAACCTGGTTGATAACAGTAGTTAACACTTTCCCACCCCCATTCCCAACCTCTTAGCTCTATCTTCCAAGCTGATACAGTTGACATTATTGCCATCCTGAACGACTCCTGTCCCATACGGATGAGATGAATGTTGGGGCGGTAATGTGGTCCCACAACAGTGACGTTACTGGTGTGTATAAGAGTTTGATCTACAGAAATTAAACTACAGGTATCTTATCTACTCAAATGTTGGGTGTTTTACATATGAAAGCCCCTGCCCTCACTGGTTTTCTAGTAATACTTGGAAACAAGTTTAATCAGAAATGCAAGTTTAAGTAACTTTTACTCCAAAATTTATGCTCATCTGCTTATGACCCATTTTATGTAAGCATTACTTTAAGTTAATTATGCAAATTAAGTCTCAGCTAAGCAATTATTTCTTTCAGCTATTGATCTGTTTTGAAAAAAGGCCACTGTAGACAGATAAGCAATTCCACAAGGATAAACTGCTGCAGATTCTTTCAATAAAAATTAATGGAGTTGAGACCCCTGCGTAAACAATGGAACAGCTACAGAACAGAGAATCTTACTAGGTGTTGACGAGCTTTTGTAAGACGACGAATCCGTTCACTCAGAAAATTCCTTTGGTCAGCTGCCTCTTTTCGCTCCTCAAGCAAGAAACCTAATTGTGCTTTCTCTTGTAAGAGTTGCATCATTACATTCTGTAGGTTATCGCCGTAGTCCTGAAGGACGAAGGACCGGATGATCAGAGGAATTTGGCTGGAAAGACGATTACCTGCTCCCTGAAAGAAGATGGTTGAGAGATTTATAGTTTGCAAAGAGGAGAGGGGAGGGAATCTATAGTTGGTAGGAAGCATCAAAACCCACTCTGCCAATTGTATGTCAAGTGACTTTCCCTTGTGAATTAGTCTGGAAGAGACAGAGAAACCCCAGATCTAACTTTTAAATTCAATGAGACTTGCTGGTAAATCTTACATGGTTATGGATATTAGGCACCTCTTAAGTTTTGCTGGCAGCTGAGTAGGTGTTTTGAGAATCTAAATGTTAGGCTTTAGGTACCTTATGTGACCAGTAGGTGCTTAAGTCCTTTTGCACTGTTTAATCCTGGTATGAGGAGCTCTACATGGTTTTGACAATCGTTTTGTGTGGGCAGAAGGAAGTGCATCAATTCTTAGCTCCCCTGAAGTGACTGACAGAATCCTGACAACACAATAGCGTGCAGACGAGAATAGGATGGGGTTCAACGTAGACAAATGCAGGGTGCTGCGCCTTGGGAGAAGGAATCCACAGCATACATACAGGCTGGGGAGTTCTCTTGAAAGCACAGAGGCAGAAAGGGATCTGGAAGTCATTATTGACTCCAAGATGAACATGAGCCGCCAATGCCAGATGGCAGCCAGCAAGGCCAGCCATACCTTGTCATGCATCCAAAGGTGCAACTCAAGCCGGTTCAGAGAGGTGATATTCCCCCTCTATGCGACTTTGCTCAGGCCGCAGTTGGAGTACTGCATCCAGTTCTGGGTGCTGCACTTCAAAAGGGATGTGGCCAGCCTGGAGAGGGGTCAGAGGAGGGCCACCTGCTTGGTGAGAGGGCAGCAGGACAGGCCCTCTCTATGAGGAGAGACTGAGGGACCTGAATCTGTTCAGCCTCAGCAAGTGGAGGCTGAGGGGGAGACCTGGTGGCTGCTTACAAACTCATCAGGGGAGATCAACAGCAAATAGGTAGAGCCCTTTTCTCCCCAGCACCACCTGACAAGAAACAATGGTAATAAGCTGATGGAGAACAGGTCTAGGTTAGAGATCAGAAGGCAATTTTTTTACAGTTAGGGTGTCCAAAAACTGGAACCAACTTCCCCGGGAAGTGGTCCTCACCCCTACCTGGGGCAAATTCAAGGGGAGGTTGGATGATCACCTGTCTGGGGTCTTGTGAACCCAGCATTCATTTCTGCCTGTGGCAGGGAGTCAGGCTAGATGATCTGTTCAGCTCTCTCCTGACCCTAGCTACTATGAAACTATAAAACTATGAATACTAGCTGTGTGAGCAACAGAAGGCTTCTGCCAGGAACTGCTACAAAATTCTTTCTGCTGGTTGCTAAAGTACTTGAATAGCTAAAAAGTGCTTTCCAGCATGTACTACACACCATGGAGGTGAGGTGCTCTTGACAGCTGTACTGAGATGTCTGCTGTCTGTCAGCAGAAGGCTTATAATCTAGAGGAGCCCTTAGATGCCCATGTCCCATTTTCAAAAAAAGACAGGCACTTTGGTGGTCAAGTCTCATTAAAAGTGAAAAGGTCTTTGTCTGAATGACTTAACTGTTCAATCCCCTGGGGTTCAAGCTTCCTTGGCAGTCAAAGATATCTCTTACTGTTGAAAGCACAGCTTGGGTACCTTGATAAAGTTACTCTTAATACTCAGTTTTGAGCCCTCTAGCAGGCATGTAACAGCTCTTCGCCTATTGGCTGCTCAGTTGGTATTAATTAAGTGCAGTTTAATTGCTGCTAAAATAACCACTCATGCCATTGATTATAATGGGTTTGTATTAACAAGGCAGGCTAGGGGACTTGGAATGCCATAGAAACTAGTCTTCGAGCAATCCATACACTCACATTGAAATACGCCTCCAGGTGATAAGCCATTTCCTTGACAGAATATTGGTTATGAAGTGCAGTGGTTCCAAAATCGAACTTCTTGAATTTGGGTGTCACAGTTTTGCCTGTTGCCTGCTCAGCTGTATCTTCTCTGATAGATTTTAAGTCTTCACTGTAAACGTTGTCCTGGCAGTAAACCATCTGCTCCATTTTAAACTGGGTTCGTATCATTGTTTCAGCAGCTTCTGCTTGTTTCTCTCTAATGTCTTCAATTCTGTTCTGTGAAGAAAGATTAGAAGAAGAAAGCTCTCAGAATTCACTAAGAGACAACTTTAGAGCCAGCCCTGTGTGAACGCTAACATTCAACGTGATATCTGAGTCTTTGTCAATCATAGCGTTTAACCATTTTATATTGGACACCCAGGCTACATCCAGATGAGCATGGCTGTGTGGTAGGTGGGGGAAACAAACGTCCCTGCTCATCTGGATGCGGCTACAAGGGTCAGAATTTGGCTCCTTCATGGTGACTAAGAGGTCAGTGTCCTGTTGTCAGCTCAAATGTGTAGACAGGAAGAGCCAAATGTCTGGTGTTTGAATTTCCAGAGGGCTAGGTACTCCAGGAGGGTAGGGTGTGCAAAGAACAGGGGCCACTGAAGGCAACATGCAGCGAGTTGTCTTGCAACAGCAGTTCTCAACATTTTAGACTCAAGGCACCCCTTGAAAAATGTTGTAGTTTTCACTTGTTTATTTTCTACTACAGAAAAATAATAGAGTAAATCTTCTGTTAAAGACCACAAGAGGACAGAATAGTTTTAACACTATGGCTTCTTATTTGGAGGCTCTGGGTTTATCTTTTGAATCCTATTTGCACACCTAACAGCACTAACATTATATTACCTCTCAAGGCATGTCCAGTGGGTTGGGGTACAATGATACCCTCATTTCAAACTATCGTCTTGCAATATGTAACGACTTCTAATTCTGTTTACAGCCTGCACACTGGGAGCATTTTGACCATGTTACTCCTCCATAGATGAATATGCCTGTACAGAATTTTCTTCCCCTCTGTGCCGTCTCCAAAATCTGTTCTTCTCTCCAGTTCCAGCCAGCCAGCGTTTATCAAAGCTCTGATCATTTAGTGACTTAGCCATAACAATTTCCCTTGTTCAGGCCTTCCTGGTACCTCACCTCACCCTTCTAACTTACCCAAAACTCATTTTTTCTATTGAGATGCAATGTAATACAATCATCCTAAAACCTTTTTCACAATCCAAATCCAATTCTGATTTGTTCTCACTTTCAAGGCTTTCCACAACTAACCTTTGTTTCATCTTCTCTCCCCTTATTGGTTACTGTCCTTCCCAATCATCTCTCTAAACATTTCAACTCAACCAATGCCGCTCATGTATCTGTGGCTTAAATGGCACTTCAGTAAGATTTGGGGATGCTCCGCACTTCTGAAAATTAAGCTGCAAGAGTCTATCTTTTATATTTGTCTCTGGGCCTAACTGAGAGATGGTGTGAAAGCACTGGTCCCATACACATTTAATAAATACAGTGCAGCCTGTTCAAGTAGGAAATGGTGTTTAACAGCAAATGATGAAATGTTACAGAAAATTTGCACACATTCATTACTCTTACATGTAAGCATTGCCAGGTATTTTTAGTTTGTAACTTCACTGTTTAAGTGTCTTCACAAAAATAATGTCTGTAGTTGTACAAGGAAGAAAAGCAAGTATGTGTGAAGTAAATACAGTCCTACATACTATTTATTATGCCACTCAGTATTACTTTTGCCTTTTAACAAGTTACGTATTGTGTCTCACCTTGGCAGCTCTGTTAAGATTGTAAAAATCATCAAAGTGAGCTTTGGCAAGAACTGTAAAATGCTGTCGGACGATTTCTGAGAAGAAAAAGGAGAAATGGGCAGCAATGTAAACGTGATTTGTAGCTGTTGATAGTACAAGATTCATGAAAACTAGTCATCCTCCATATTTATCCAAAAGGATGCTGCCATGCAGCTATGCACATGTAATATGCTTTTAATTTAATCATTCCATGTCATTGATTTCATTTTCTCATGATGGTTATTAGTTTCTACCTTTTTAAGAAATCATTTCAGTTTTGGAGGTAGCATTGTTAAAGTGTGGAGGTCATGCACAGATACGAGGTCTTAGCAAAGGGAAATTGGTTTGTTACGTATTAATTTTTCACTCCCTAAAGTATCCAGTGTACAATTCTTGCTACATCAGTCAGAACATAGGACAAATTTAGTAAAAGAAGCTCACCAACCACTGTCTTCAATATATCAACAGCTGGTTCTTCGAGTTCCTTGATCTGCTGTTTGACAATGTCCTCAAATGTCCTGTAATTGATAAAGCCAGGGAGCTCTCTTCCACGGTACTGACTTTCAAATCTCCATACTTCATGATGTATAACTTTTTGAACTAAAACATTAAAAGCAATTCTATTGTACACCAAATTAACTAATTTTATAAAGAAAGCTATGAATTCAGAAAAGAAACTTAGTTATTTGTTCTGAAGATGCCCTTGATTAGAGAAACCTATTACACAACTGGTCACTCATGCACTTTCATTCCTGTGATCCTGAGCCCAAACTATGCTATTTCTACTTATACGCATGACAAAAGGACACAGTGGAAACAGGGACAATTAGAATACTCATCTGCTACATCTCAACAGCCTTTCAAAAGTGCTCCATTAGCTGACACTACAGGTAAAAATGAAAGCTTTTTGTGATTAGTTTCCTTGGTAAATTCTACTAGCACCATTTGTAAAACTTTTTAAGTGTAGAGAAACTTACCTAACTAATAGGTATGAAAGACTATACTTGGTGTGACTTATAGATTCATAGGGTATGTCTATATGTTGCCCTATGGTGACATTATTACTGTGCTGTGCTTTAGTACTTCCTTTTGGAAGTACTAAAGCAGGTACAGTAACCGCCCATACTGTGCTGTACGTGCAGGGCATGGTTATTTTTAGCCACTACTTTACCATTGCGGCATGCTAAAATGAGGGAGTGCCGTATCCTGGGGTAGCTTGCAAAGTGAGCGGCTATTATAGTAGCTTGACCATGCAAGCTTACTGTAACAGCCAATTAAGTAAGTAATAGCCTATTTGTTTTTTAGGAAAAGACTAGACCAGCATGGGAATTTCCACCCCAATTCTTTCATGGGTAATTCTCCACCAGATGAGCAGAAGTTAGCCCACTTAAGGATTTGCATTATCTGACTTCGATCTTTTGCCAATTACACCAATGCAAGTGTGGCATTTGTCCATCTCCAGTGTTTGTTCCCTTCCTCCCCCATCACTTTGCACTTAGAACTGTACTTTGTACCCACATGCCTTAAAGAAGTCTAACCCTGACGGATCATGAGTAGCCTGAGAAATTATAACACGGAAGCAGGAGATAATGTCATCTTATGAGACATTATTATATTTGTTTGCTATTTCTATTATTTACATCCAGCTCTTTCAGGCTCCAGTGCAGCTATAACTATTAGATAAACTCACACTGCAGTGACTTAAATTTTATAAACAGTGGCTGCATCTACATGAGACGCTTATTGCACAGTAGCTTATTAGTGCCGCTCAGCAGTATCCTATGGGACAAACCCTGATGCCGCAAGGCTACTGCACAGTCATCACCACCAGGAAGCTGTATTAGGATGCTACTGCGCAGTCATTTAGTACTTAGTTATGCAAGTACTAAATGGCTGCACAGTAACAACTGTGCAGTCAGCGTCTTGTGTAGATGCGGCCACTGATATCTGTCTCAGACAAGGTGCTTTTTATTCATAAATCTCCAACCACAAAATCAAAGAATTGTAAGTGTAGTTGTTACAAACAATTACACGTCACGTGTATGGACCTCCACTGACTGGGAATGGGAACAGGGGTAAATAACACTGCAAAGAAACTACAGTTTTTTACTTCTAGCCTTCCATTTCCTTCTGTTTTGTGTGTGGGTGTGCAGTATTTCTTCCTGTTCCATGTTTCCAATTATCTTACTCCCCCTACTGCATTCAAAGTAGTTGGTTCTGGGTATCTGATGGAAAAAAGTCAACAGAATATGCCCACTTGTAACTTTATTTTTTCCCCTTCCCTTGGGAATGCATCTGTCTTCATTCTGTAACAGTTAATTAGAATTACTTTCAGCAATGTTTATATAGGTATGAAGTGAGAACTTAAAGAACTTATGCAAAAAGCATCCCCCACGCCTGCCCCTCCAGTTGGGTATTCTGAAAGGTAGAGAAATGGTTGAGGTCCTTACTAAAAGTCAGTTTCCATGAATCTTTTTTTTTTCTCATGTTAGATTTGATTTCAGTCTGCAGTTAGGCTGAGTTCTCTGTAAGAATGGATATTCATTTAGTGATTTTTATAACTCATAAATTGGTATTCCCAAATTTGAAACCATGGGAAAACCTTCTTTAGCATAACTATTCAGACAAGGAGTATGGTCTCTGATGGTGTATATTTTCAGTGGGTTTCCACCAGCTCCACTGCAATCTTTGTGACAGTTTGCACTAGCTGGAAGTCTGCCCCCAGGCAAGTTATACTTCACAGCATAGTAAACACATTACTTAACTTCAGTAAATGTTAATCTTTATTAACATGTCAGTCCAAGTAAGTGCAACTGACCATTTCAGAGCATCTTCATTGGCCATTCTTTTTTTTTACTTACTCTTCACTGAACTCTCATCAAGTGCTTTCCCCCATTTTTGAAACTCCTTGCGGACTTTCGTAAACAGTCTGATTTCATTTCCAGACACTTTTTCTTCTCCATGCACTGAATTCACAATGTCTTGATTAAAGAGTTTGATTTTCTATAATGAAAGAGAACCTTGAAAAATTATTACACTTTCACAGCAGGTCCAATTTATGTATTACTTTTGAAGCTAATTTTATTTGAAGCACGGTTCATCTCTGAAAAGTTCAGAATTATTTTCTTTTTGTGGCTTTTGACTCTTGCTATTTCTGCAAAGCCAGAACAGGGAAGAAAGAATGAATTTGATTCTACTCTTTTTACGGGCTAGAGTAACTTACTAAATTCTACTCAACTAAATACATGCAAAGCCAATGAACAGAGGTGTAGCTGGCATTTAAGATTATTAAATATGAAGGTGCGGTAGTTCAGCTTTAAGAGGATAGCTGGAGTAGGGACTGGCTGATACCTCATCTCTGGCATAGTCCTTGGAGCACCATGCTGGGTGAGATGTGAGCTCAAATCCAGGTGACAGCAGACTAGAACCTGGGTCTTGTACTTCCAAGCCAAGCGCCCTCCATTTTGCCTAACTACAATTTTGGAATTTATGCTCAAATAAATGTCTAGAACCGTGTAGCTGCCCAGCCAGAGCACAGCCTTCTGACCATGCTCAACAGCAACGTCTCTGCTTGAACATCCCCCCTGTACTGCAGGCTCACAAACGATACATGTCAAAAACAGCTCTTACCAAGCTCGGTAAATGCCATTTGGGGATATAAAGTGAAATGGGATTCTGCCCCCAGTGTCCTGATTTTTATGGAAGTGGGCAGAGGATGCATTTTAAAAGGTATTTAGGCACCTACCTTTGAATCATTAAAAAAGTCATTTCCTTTGACTCCAGTGGAAATTAAAGGTCTAAATGCATTAAAAATTATATAGTCCTGAGGGCCTAGCAATTTTGAAAGTCAGCCTACTTTATTGCTTTACTGTGAAACTTATGTAACCCAAAAAACTTTGGTTCCCTCAGGAACTCACTATTAGTCATTCATCACCGGAAGACACACAATACAGACCAGAAAGAACTAGACAGAAGACACTGGTTCAAGATGGATACCATGAGCAAAATGCACACATACTTAATTCATAAAAATGAGCATAAGACTATAACTAATACCATCCTGGGTCAGACCACAAGCCCATATCCAGGCAAGTATCTTTATCACTCAGTGGCAGAGAGTAAATGCTTGTGCACATCCTGTATCCTGGGATGCATTTAATCTTACAAGTGTTGTAAGCAGCGAAAAACTGCCAAAACTTTAAGATCAGAAATTATTTTTTTCCTTTAAAGTTCATGATTTTGACAAGATAAAATTTCTTAATTCAATTCTCTTTGTTCTGTCCTAGAACCAAGTGATGTTTATACTCACATCTATGAGGAAAAACAGTTTCTCGCCATCTGTTTTGGGTGCACCTTTGCCGTATTTGCGTAACTCTTGAGATGATTTTTGGAGTTCTTCACTTATTTGATCCTCTAATCTGGGGATATTTTTCTTGAGGGAGGAAGAACAAACAAAACCCACATGAACAGATTGGACAAGTCCAATTTTTGAAAGAAATAAAACAATTTTGGGTATCACAGAGGTTTGTTCTTTAAATTCAAGAATGCTCTGTCCCCTGCACCTTTTTTTTAAGTACAGAAAGAGCTGAGCTCAAAAAGGGGAAGGTTTAGGAGATTCTTTCCTCAATCTTAAATTAAAAAAAAAAAAATATCCTGCAAGGTCATTACAGTCTGTTTTTGAGAACCAGTGCAGCTTAGCAACCAGTTCCTTATTTTTGACACAAATTTTAGAAGTGTCATGAGTAACCCCATATTTTAAAAAAAGGTTCTTTTTTACTTTATGTAACAAGGCTCTCATGAGTCAGCAATGATAATGAGATTTGGTTCTTCTATAGCACTTTTCATCCATGCATCTCAAATGCTCTTTACAAAGGCATTCAAATCCCTCATTTCAAAGATTGTACAAAACTAGAGTTGGCAGGGACCTCGTGGGAAAATTGAATCTCAGGGAGATGCAGGCCTTGTCTACACCAAAGTAGTGGCGTGCACCAGCCGGTTCTTCCTGAGCATGCAGTCACATGCACAATCCAGATTTGCAAGTCTACCAGTGAAGACACTGTCCCTACAGCTGTTCTCACAACCTGAGACTGATGTGCTTGAGAATGGCCACTGGAGACGACGATAGAGCAGCCGGACAGCCATAGTGTAGCCCAGGGCTGTCTAACCAGCAGCCTCTGACGGGTTAATGTACAGGCCCTAGGCTGTCACCCAGCCATTGTTCCCACTTTAAACTCCAGGTGCTGCTGCAGCTGACTTCTATAGGCTCCCCTTCTCTCCTCTGACTTTTTTGCTTCTTGCTCTCACCCCAGGGACAGAGAGGCACAACCAATGGTACTGGGAGAGCTTGCAGCACAATGCAGCATGGAATCTGCAGCTGGGAAGCTGAGGTAGGGATACTGGTCTCCAGGACTTGATCCTGCAGTTTTGTTTTCAGGTTCTTTACATCAGTAACAGTTAAGGCAAAAATTCTCTGTTAGCTTACATTAATGTGAAGCACAAGTTCTGCTGTAAGTTTTTCTGCCAAAAGAGGAATCGTGGCCTTTCTTTCATCCAAAAGGACACTGAAAGAGAATTAAAAAAATGAAAATAGCAAGCTTTCATTTGCAGAGAAAGGAACAATGTGTTTGTTTTTTGGGATTTTTTGCTATTCTTTTTTGTATTTCCCTCAAACACAAGACACGTAACAGCAGTCTCTCTTGATCAAGCTGGGGAGTACTACAAAAATGTAGCAGTAGCCTTATGATTTCCTTACAAAACTGCTTTTGCACAAAATTATTTTTGGAACTCTGAGCTCTTTGCTAAACAAGGAAGCAACATAAAAGAATGTTAGCATCCATCCATCCCTGCCTGAAATATGCACAGGGATGCACTGAGAACATCAGGCATTTCTACACGTGCGCCAGGAGTGTGCGGGGGAGGGTGACGGCAGCTTTAATTAGAGTGGGTCTGAAAGCCTCTCTAAGGAAAGTGCCTGAACCATAGCATGCATCAGCATCCCTACGCTGAAAAAGCTTGGCAGGGGTGCTTTAACTAAAGCTCATTCGACAAGCTTTAGTTAAAGATCCTTTGCCACCATTTTTTAGCATGGAGGCACTGATGCAGATGACGCTGGAGTCTCCTGGAGTGTGGTAATTACCACCTTCAGCAGACTCAATTAATCGAGTATGCTACGACATACTGTAATGACAGCACACAAGAGCAGCCTTGCTGCACGTGTACAGGCGCCTATTGGAATTCCCAACCAAAACATTTTGCACAGCTCATGCATTTCATCCTCACTCTCAACAATTCTACCTTCAATAACTGAAGCATCCTCAAACTATGGTGGTGAGAAATTCACCACCAAATCTTTATTATACCTACAATACAAAGATGACATCATTACCTGGACTGAATACATGAAATCACTTACTGATGTTATACAACTTCAACAATTAACATCCTGCCCTTCAAATTCTCTCTAGAATATTTTTACAATAATATCAGTGCAAGGACACTAAGATACCATTATCCACATCCAGAATGGCACCCTAACAAACAACTATATACAAAACCCCCTAACCTTATGAATTGTCACACTTCCACAAGGTCAGTAATCATCCCAAACACACCAAGAAAGCTGTCATTTATTGCCAGGCCCTCAGATATTACTCCATTTACTCTGAAAATACTCTCAACGTGCACCTCCCCAACTAAGAGCATAATTCACCCAACAAAAACAATCCATGAGTGAAACAAAACACATCTTTCAACAAACCACCTCGGTACCATGCACAAAACTAGTATGAGAGAACCCCCGCCCCACTGATTGTCATGCCTGGCTGTCAGATACCATTCCACGTTGAAACCGATAAAGAACAGAACTAAGAAGTTATAATCTATGGAAGAAAGTGATACCTTAAAGGAAATATTCTCAACTTGTCCCCCTGACTTTCAGACCAACCCCTAACTTCACCAAATTCCCCATCAGAAGCGAGCTCCCTGCTTTTCAGCAACCAGAGCAAGACCCTATCTAAACAATGAATGCATGCCCTGCCAACACACTCCATCATCACCAGCCAGAATACCACCACCCCCAACAAATCATTCTACCCATGCGTATCATAAAATATGAAATACCTCATCCAATGCCCCAAGGAAACTATGAGGCTGTAATTAAATAACCATTACACAGAAAAGCAATACAAATTTATCCAGTTATCAGTGAGAAAGCACTTTTCACAGAACAACCATTCCATTTCTGATCTCAGCCTATCCTCAAGTAAAAACAACACAGTACTTGGGAATAAAATCCATGGCTGTACTAAACACTCGAAACCATAGATTTAACACCAGACAATGGTTTTGTGCAGAGCTGTCCAAGCAGTGGTCTGCAGGGCACGTGCAGCATGTGAGGTTAAATTGCAGCCTACATGGCTTGGTGTGGTTGCTGGAGCCATTAGGTTAGCCGGGCTCTGGAAACCCGGGGGCAAATACTATCCTGCTTGTCCTCCCAAATTTGGAGTTCTTGAGTGACTCAGATTGGTAGTAAAGGGAAAAGAGGGGGAGGAGGGCCCTTTTGAATGGCCCGATTCATTTCTGTAATCGGGTTATCTATTATAACTGTCCTTACTTGGCCTGTAACTACTGCTGATGACTCATCGTTGCTCCACAGATTTACTGCCCACTTCCTTTATTAAGAAACCATTTAAATAATTTAAATATTTAAATAACGAGGTTAAGCAAAAGTCATGATTTTATCTGTTATTTAGTTTAAGCTGTCTCTGCTTCTTTCCTAGATGTGAGGAAGGGTATTTTATGCCTAACAGCTTGTCAAGTCTTTCCTCATTTTCACAATTGGTCCAATAAATGATATTACCAAACAAATTTGCCGCTCAAGAAAGACATATAATTTGTTATTATATAATAATAATGTATCCATTGCTGTGTGCAGTAAGACTATTGAACCTACTTCCAGCTTCAAACATTCTCTTTGGCTAAGTACAGAGTCAAAAAGCCTGAGGTTGAATAAATTCAATCTTTGCAGGTTAGTCTAAGCTGTGTAGATTGAACCAATAAGCAAGTGAACAGACATTCACTTTTGATTCCGGGAATGCAGCCACTGCCTGCAGTAGCCCAGGCCAGAAGCCAGGGAGGTGGTGGTGGGGGTACTAGAGCATTCCTCCTGGCT